GCCACCCGCCCAGGAGGAGTGTGTGAGTGTTAGAGTGTGTGAGTGTTAGAGTGTGTGAGTGTTAGTGTTAGAGTGTGTGAGTGTTAGAGTGTGTGAGTGTTAGTGTTAGAGTGTGTGAGTGTTAGAGTGTGTGTGAGTGTTAGAGTGTGTTAGTGTTAGAGTGTGTGAGTGTGTGAGTGTTAGTGTGTGTGAGTGTGTTAGTGTGTGTGAGTGTTAGTGTGTGTGTCTGCTAGTGAGTGTTAGTGTGTGTGTTACTGTGTGTGTCTTACTGAGTGTGTGTGTGTGTGTGTTAGTGAGTCTGTTTGATGTCTGTTAGTGAGTTTGTGTTTGTCAATGAGAGTGTATGTTTTGTAAGTGAGTGTGTATGTATGTCTATCGCTGAGTGTGTGTCTGTCAGTAAATGTGTGTGTCTGTTAGCTAGGCTGTATGCATCTGTAAGTGTGTGTGTGTGTCTTCAGCACTTACCTTTCTCCAGCGCCGGACTCCCTTGGCGCTGGGGATCCCTCAGCCTCTCAGCTCCGAATGCGACCGCGCACGCATTCAAACTCAATGCTTTCCTATGGACATTCAGTGTGCTCCTCTAGCGGCTGTGAGTGAGACAGCCACTAGAGGCTGGATTAACCCTCAGTGAAACATAGCAGTTTCTCTGAAACTGCTGTTTTCAGTTGCAGGGTTAAAACTAGAGGGACCTGACACCCAGATAACTTCATTGAGCTGATGTGATCTGGGTGTCTGTAGTGGTCCTTTAAGTGTGTGTGCATCTGCATGCACTGGCGTACATACCGCGGTCGCAGGGGTCGCAGCCCTGTAACCCCTGCGACCAGGTGTCCACCGCCATGAACAAGCAGTCATATTGGCCTCTACGGAGGGATTAAAGCTGCAGCAACAACTAAAAACTGAGCTTTTGAAATATAAAAAATAAAATAATACAATTCAAAAGACAGAAATACGAAAGGGTATTTTCTAGGAATTCAACTTGATTCAGTGCACATGCAGGCGATTCTTCCTCAGGATGAGATTGAGCACACCTTGGCGAGCATTGATTTATACTTACAACTGGATTCTTGCAATCAGAAAGAACTTCAGTCCCTGCTGGGGTCGCTCAATTACACCATGAGGATCATTCCCCAGGGAAGATCTTTCATTTAATGATCACTTTCTTTATTTCCAAACCTCCCCTCTGACGACTCCCGCACCACGATAGACACAAACGTGACGGCCGCTTTACGCATGTGGTGCACTTTTTGCACTTCTTGGAATGGGCACTCCATGTTCATCCCCCCAATTTCTGACGATTCTCCTACACTCTGGACAGATGCAGCAGCCACCACTGGTTTTGCTGCCATCTGGGGAGACAGATGTCTTTGGGGCCCTTGGCCTAGAGAAGTTAGATCCCTTCCTGGCTTCTCTACGAAATCGGCCTTGTTCGAACTGTACCCTATTGTGGCCGTGCCATTGCCTAGGGGACAGACTGGGCGGTCACTCCGTCAGATGCTAGTCTGACAACCTTGCCACTTGCCACATCATCAATAAAGGCTTGGTCTTCCACTTTGGTAATAATGAGGTTTTTGAGGAGACTCACATGGGTGGCAGCCACCAGACAATTTTTCATCACCTGTATTCACGTTCCGGGGGTCACGAATGTAGCTGCTGATCACTTGTCTTGTTTTCACTTTCAGGCTTTCCTACAGACACAACCCACCGCTTCCAGTCTGGTTATCCCCACCCCTCCTTTCCAGGACATGCTCCTGGACTAACTATTGGCTCAAGCACGCACTCTTTCCCACCAGGCACTTTCAGTCAGCTCCAGGAAATCCTAAGAAAGAGCATTTCACATTTTTAACAGATTCATAGCAGATTTTACGGTTTGGGACCCATTTGCTTTGGAGACCATATTGGGGTTCACTTCCTTTTGCCACTTTAACTTGAAATTATCTTTTAACACTAGCAAATTGTATTTAAAGGGCATACAACACCACATGTTATTATGACACCCTAACAAGAATGGTTTACTTTCATCTTACCAGATAAAAACACTACTGAAATGTATCCAACAGTCACAAACACAGCTACCCCATAAAAGACTACCCATTCAAAACAGCATATTCCAGTGATTGGATACTTCACCATTTGAACATACAACCAACATGGTAATTAAAACAGCCACATATCTTGCTTTTTATGAATTCCTACGTCCAAGGGAATTTACCTCCAGTAATATCACCACCACAGACTACCTTAAAATAGCCGATATCCACAAATCCATTGACCATTACAATCTTTCTCTTCACCATTCCAAAACCAGCCAAATGGGACGCACTGTTGACATACCCCTTTTTCCTACCTCCAGCAAATGGTGCACGGTTAAAGTTTTGGATGCATAATTCAATACCTTTCACAAACAACCACATCAACCACGGTTCCACCCTTACCACTGCCAAATTCATGCTCTATGTCCGTATGCTGTTAACTAGACTTAGCCTAAACACACATCATTATTCAGGACATTCTTTCTGCATAGAGGCAGCGTCCTCCGCTTCCTCCAATTTCCTGCTCATATAATGAAAACAGTGGGACGCTGGAAATCTTCTGCCTACACCTTATACATAACAAACCCAGTTAATGAATTACGACAGGCATTTCGTGATTTGACCAAATAATTGATGTTTTGTAGTATGAATAAATCTTGTTTGGTACACTTCCTTTTTGCCCTCTTTATTACAGGCCTACTGCATTGTTTGTTTCGGCACACCACAACCGACTGGTGTCACTATCCTGGGCATACCCTAATCACACCTCCGTGCTGCACTGCCTTAGGGCAGACTAACATGTCGGGTGCTCGGTCTATGATGCAGTAGGGGGCCCGGTGGCATTGTTGGCTGCCCTGACAGAGATCCAGACTCAGTCTGCAGCTCCGCCGGGAGTGAGCTGCAGACTGAGGTGTGTCGCGATCTCCAGCCTGTCAGAGCGTTGCCGCGAGACTCACCATGTGGTCTGCAGCTCACTGCCGGTGGAGATGCAGACTAAAGAGAGAGGGCGCCCACTGGACCACCAGGGAAGGTATTTAAACTCCTTACTACCCCCTGTCACTCACTGCCCCCCACCACCCTTCTATCCCGTCACTCACTGCCCCCCCCACCTCCTTCTACCTCCAGTCACTCACTTCCCCCCACCCAACCCCCTTCTACCCCCTGTCACTCACTGCCCCCCACCCAACCCCCATGTCACTACCCCTGCCCTCTCCCCCCAACCCCCGCCACTGCCCCTCTACCCCCTAACCCCTGTCACTACCCCTCAACCCCCAACCACTGTCACCACACCCCTGTTACTGCCCTCTACCCTCCAACCCCTGCTGTCACTGCCCCCTCTACCCAACCCCTGTCATTACCCCCCAACCCTGTAACCACCCCCTAGTCCCTGTCACGCCCCTCTACCCTCCTAACCTGTCACTGCCCCTCCACACTCCCACCCCTGTCACTACCCCTCTACACCCCCCAACTCCTGTCACTACCTCTACCCTCCCCGGTCACTGCCCCTATCCCCTAACCTGTGTCACTAACCATCTACCCTGCTACCTCCTGTCACTGCCCCATCACCCCCTACCCCTGTCCCTCTACCCCCTAACCCCTGTTGCTGCCCCTCCACTCCTACCCCCTGTCACTGCCCCTCCACTCCCTACCCCGTCACTGCCCCCTGTCACTGCCCCTCCACCCCCCTAAACCCTGTCACCCACCCAGTGCACCCCTCCCAATCAAACACACTGTACCCCACACACACACTGCATCCCTCACAATCACACACACACTGTACCCCTCACAATTACACACACTGTACCCCTTACAATTACACACATTGTACCCCCCACACACTGCACCCCTCACAATCATACACACTGTACCCCACACACACTGCATCCCTCACAATTACACACACTGTACCCCTTACAATTACACCACACACACTGTACCCCTCACAATCACACCCACTGCACCCCTTAAATGCTGCACCACTCACAATCACACACACTGCACCTATGTATATTTGCATATATATATATATATATGTATATTATATATGTGTGTATGTATATATATATATGTGTGTGTATGTGTATATAAAAATACATATACACGCGGCGTGTGTTTGTGCTTTAGGGTGCACAGCCTAATACAACAGGCTGCGCACGCCTATGATTATATAAGTATTATGTGTTATCTTACCATCATGGCAAATATTGCCCTGACCACAAATTTAAGGCTGGGCCTTTAGTTGTGGGAGGGGCTTAGGTTCCCTTTACAAAGGCTACCAATCCTCTCCCACCACTCCTTTTACTCACATCACCCTCTAAGGTAGGCCCTCTTTATTACAGGCCTACTGCTTTGTCGGTTCGCGCACACCACAACCGACTGGTGTCACTATCCATTGTTATATTATATAAATATTATGTGTTATCTTACCATCACGGCAAATATTGCCCTGACCACAAATATATATATATATTACAGCAGCTGATCTACCCCCTTTTTGCCTTGTTCATGCTGGGCAATGTTCAATAAATGTTTTTCCTAGAGAAGTCTTGTGAACACATTGAGCTAATGTCAAAGTCATAAAACACATACTTAAAAATAGATATTAGAAAATACATATAACATGAAATAGTTTTTAAATAATTAAATATTCAATCTTTTAGAAATTATATTAATTAAATAAAATACATTTGATTGAAATAGGTCCTAACATGTTTCTTTAATAGTGCACACATATCTGTAGGCTTTGAATAATTCTTGTTTCTTTCTGTGAGATTTCTTTTTTCTTTATTTAACATTATCCAGGTCTCCCAAAAGTCTCAATGTTGGTAGGACAGTTCTGATTTTGTGTCCTGTTGTCATGCATCCATGGACACTAGGGAACTGTCCTTCTCTGCTTTGTCCTGTATTATTATTATTATTATTATTATTATTATTATTTTATTATTTATATAGCGCCAACAAATTCCGTAGCGCTGTACAATGGGTGGACTAACAGACACATAATTGAGATCAGACCACTGACGTACAGGAACAGAGGGGGTTGAGGGCCCTGCTCGATGAGCTTACATGCTAGAGGGAGTGGGGTATAGTGACACAAAGGGTTAAAGTAGGGGAATTAAATAGTTTGTTACAGAAGGGTTTATTGAGTGCTTGGTAGGTCATTTTTGACAGGTGAAGGAACGGAGTCATGGGGTGGGGGATGAGAAACCTGCTGACAGTTTAATTGATACGCTTTAATGAAGAAGTGAGTTTTCAAAGATTTTTTGAAGGAATGGAGGCTGGGTGAAAGTCTGATTGAGGAGGGAAGGGAGTTCCACAGAATAGGTGCAGCCCTGGAGAAGTCTTGAAGGCGAGCATCAGAGGTGGGGATCCGGGCAGAGGATAGGAGTAGGTCTTGGGCTGAGCGCAGGGGTCTCGACGGGACATACTTGTGTATGAGGGAGGATAGGTATGTTGGAGCAGCATTATGTAGGGATTTGTAAGCAAGCGCCAGAATTTTGAATTGGGCCCTATATCTAACTGGAAGCCAATGCAGGGACTGACAGAGCGTGGAGGCGTGGGAGGTGCGACCGGACAGGAAAATAAGCCTCGCAGCCGCATTCATTATAGATTGCAGCGGTGCAAGCTGGGAACATGTAAGACCGGTGAGAAGGGGATTGAAATAGTCAAGGCGACTATGTATGTTGGGGACTGGCCAGTTAATCAGCCTGTCATGCTTGATGCTAGGCTAAAACACTGCTTCAGTGGGCAGACCTGCCCCTTTTCTAGTCAGAGGTACCCTTTTTTTTCTTTTTACTATTTTCAAGTTCCAAGGCTCAAAGTCATCAAGGATATATGGCTTTCTCTGACGATGGGCCAATCCAATGTTCTGCATTGGGGAACCAATGAGCATATGCTGCAACTGCTGTGCACGCACCCAAGCTTCCCCATAGGAAAGCATTGTATTCAGTGCTTTCCTATGAGCTTCCACGTCATATGACTGAGTTTTACAGTGCAATGGAAGCACCTCTAGTGGCTGAGGTGGATTTAGCCCTGCAATATAAACATTGTAGTTACATGAAAAAAAGCAGTGGCTCACACTAAGAGACTCAGGTATGACTGGCCCCAGACTGACAGAAGCGCAGCGTGAAGCACTCAATGTGAGTGCTGCTACAAACAATATAAAGAGGCATTTAAAGGACCACTCCACACTCCATAAGCTTTTTATTTTGCAAAAGTGCTTTATGTGTGAGGAGTATCCTAATTTAACCCCAGTCTATAAAAGTGCAGATTTCTATGAGAAATCAGCACTGTTGTAAATTAACTAGGGAAGTGTGTTTGACTCTTCCCACAAAGACCTAAGACTAGCTTCTCCATACCTCAGACCAGACCTGCACATGAGCACCAATTCAGAAGCTTCCCTGTGAAAAGACTGAAATTGTCTTTCAAGAAAACGGGGAAAGCTTACTAAGGGCACGATCTGATAAGCTTAGCAAGCTATTTTAAGATATACTCCTGATGAATACATGCATGAAGAATTCCTGCATGTATATATACTAAACAGTAACTTTATTTTTTGCCCAATTGGCAGTGGCGTGTTCTTTTAAGTGCCTATTGCGCAATGTGTGCAAGCAGCATAAATCCCCTCTCACAGCTGGGAGCCCCAAAGAATCCCTTCTGTCAGTGGCCTAAGACTGACCAAATTACATAACTTTCCACTCATCCTAATGTGATGACAGGAGCTGCAGCCGAAAGATAAACTATGTATCCCCTAGACACCAGGTGGACAGAGGTTTACAGGATACAATCAGACCAGAAGGAGACTCTCCTGCTTGGTGTAGCGTCTTGACTACAGTGATTTTCTTTTCTCCTAAAATTACAGGCAGTTTGCCAACTGATTCCCTTTAATTAAAGCAGGGTCCGGTTAATTATACATTCGCCACATAAAGTATATGAGTAGCTTCACTATATGACGTCAGAATTCAAAAACGAAACAACCAAACAAAAAGAGTGTTTGTTGGCAATTAAGTTACATTGTATTTTGAGGGTTGCTTTAAAACAGCATGACTATTGACTAAAGTGTCCTGTAAGGCTCCCCCCTCCACCTCAGCTGGGCAGTGAAGGGGAAATGCGGGACTGCTATGAGTGATACACCGTGGGCAGTGCTGCGAGGCGGAGGGCGGGATCCACTCTCTGTCTAGAGTGGTGCTAATCTAAAGTTTCCAAACGAAAGTTCTAAGCGGGAATCTAGAACGTCGGAGCGGAATTACATGCCAGAACCATGGTCCAGGAGTTAGGGCCAGCCTCCCGCACAGCTTGGCCGTGATGGGGGCTGAGCACTTTAGCTGTACATTTATTGCTCCAGGCAGGGTTTTCGTGGATGTCGTAGGACATCCCTGAGACGGAGAAAAAGTAAACTTCCTGGCAGCAACAGCCCCACGTTTACCGCTGGCGATAAAGGAGGAGGTATTGGCAAGGAAGGGGGGCTGGAAGGGAGATGGCGGTGGATGGTGGAGGAGGTGATCCTCAGTGCCCTGTGGACAGAAATGAGGACAAGGTGAGGAAGAAGAAGAGAAGAAAAAGTAAGGATGGCAGGACGAGGAGTGTGTGTTCTAGCTTGCTCTATGATTCCTGTGGGAAGGCAGCCTCGGAGAACCCCAACCGACATTATGCCGGTAACTCCATCAAGACCACCAAGTACACGGCGCTCTCATTCCTACCCAAAAACTTGTTCGAGCAGTTCCACCGCCTGGCCAATGTCTACTTCGTCTTCATCGCTCTTCTTAACTTTGTCCCAGCCGTCAATGCCTTCAAACCCGAGCTGGCTCTGGCCCCGGTCATCTTCATCCTGGCTGTCACCGCCATCAAGGACCTGTGGGAGGACTACCGGCGCTACCGGTCCGACAAGGAGATCAACCACATGGACTGCCTGGTGTACAGCAGGTAGGAAGGGATGTCTGACCTTAATTTTCAGGGGAGACCCCCAGTATCACAGCAGTCCCACCATAGTAACACTAACATGAGGCATCAAAGCCAGAATTCTAACACAACGTTCCACCAACGATGCCCCTTACTATAGCCATCACTTCATAGACGGCCATAGCACAGTGATAACATAGTGGTGAGGAAGGAAATATGCCTCCAGGCTGTACAGGTGGATGATAACTGTCCAGACCTGTTCTGCAGACTGATGTGTTTACATTGAGAATATTACAGATCCATCGAATTTCGTAGTTAAACATTCATCTTGACAAGTGATAACCACATCATGTTTTAGGGGTGACTGGAGGTAGAACCCCCGCTTCATCCCATTGTAGAATTAATATTTCAGTTATAGTTGTAAGGTTTTATTTCTATACCTTTTGGCGACATTGCTTTTTTGCCGCATGTCTACCTTTACATAGAGTACATACAGTGGTAACCTGCAATGCAAGAAATTGGCCGATGTCTGCACTCACAGGGTTAATCAGAGAGCCCACCCAGGCCCGTCCCCTGTGAGGATTTAGACAAGAAGTTGCTTCAGTAAAAGCTGCCACGTTTTGTGCTACACTTTCTAAGTACCCTCCATTCATCTTAGAAGGGGTGGAGCACTTGAGTGTTTACTCTCCCCCGCCCCATCTCTTTTTGGCACTCTGTGACCTTACATGCTACCAGTAACCAGCTGGGGCAATGTTTATTTTAGCCCAGTTGAGGAGGGCCACGATGGCTGGGGTCCCCATACTGACAGCACGTGTCAGACTGTGGGTAGGGCCCCTCCTACCACGACATGCAGAGAACAGGCTCATTCTCCCGGCTTCTGTGCAGTCTGCATGCCCTGCAGGGATAGCTGAAGACACATGTGTAGCTTCCATAATAAAACATCCTCCTTTTGTGTTTCTGCAGTCCGTTTGCTGAGCTCTAAATTAGGTTCACATTTTTTTTTTGTATTTGTCTTTGTGTTTTTCCCTCCAGTGGAAAATGTAGCTTTACACCTCATTCTGCTTGTTGTATATAACTGGATGTGTTCGAAAGAGACCGAGGGGCTGCCAAACCCTATAAATTTGATTTAGATTTTTTTCATTTTTTTTTTTTTTTTCCAGTTGTTTGGTCCAAATGCAACATTGATCTCCCCTCAGTGTTGAAGTTCATGTGTGAAAACAAATATTCCATTTGTGTTTTTATTAGGTCAACAGACCACTGTGGTTTTTAGGGTGTTGGTGCTAGCTTTGTTTCACCATTAATTGTGAAAATCTGCTTTTAGAACACCTAAATGAAAACATACTTTGACTCAGTCAGGGCTTGTATGGAAACTAACAAAACGGGTGCAGTATGAATGCCTCACAATTAGGTGGCACGTTTATCTGTCTTTATTTGACCTTTGTCACAGTATTTTGCCAAATTCTACTTTAACCACATGCCGTAAGTACGAATGCTCTTTTCGCATTCATTCTACCACACTTCCCCCTTTCTGTTTTATATGAACTCATACAGGTTGTATATCTTATATTGCACATGCACAGCAAATCAGCACCCTGGCCAATCAGCATCTCCTCATAGAGATACATCTCGAGGGGAAATGTTAAAGGGACTCTCCAGTGCCCGGAAAACACATCCGTTTTTCTGGCACTGCAGGACTCTGCAGTGCCCCTCTCCCTCCCATCCCATGTTGCTGAGGGGGTTAAAACCCCTTCAGTGACTTACCTGAATCCAGCGCCGATGTCCCTCGGTGCTGGGTCAGGCTCAGCCTACTCTACTCCCCCGCCAACGTCAGCCGGCAGGGTTAGACCAAATGCGCATGTTCGGCAATGGCAACTCACGTGCATTAGACCTCCCCATAGGAAAGCATTTTTCAATGCTTTCCTATGGTGATTTTGGCAACGCTGGAGGTAGTCACATAGCGTGAGGACGTCCAGCGTTGTTTAAAACACTTTTCGTGTTCTAAGAACACGGAAATGCCTCTAGTGGCTGTCTCATAGACAACCACTAGAGGAGAACTAAAAGGACCACTATAGTGCCAGGAAAACATACTCGTTTTCCTGGCGCTATAGTGCCCTGAGGGTGCCCACACCCTCAGGCAGGGCCGGCGCTACCTGTAAGGCGGACTAGGCAGCCGCCTAGGGCGCCCCTTGGGAGGGGGCGCCGCCAGGAGCGCCGGCCCCGCTCATGCTGCAGCCGCCCGAGCGCTCTGTGAAGAGCCTCAGGCGGCTGCAGTTTTGCCCGGGCGGTGCGTCCATGAGGGCGGACCGCACCGCCCGGGCGCAGCCTGAGGAGAGGCTGACAAGAGGAAGTGCTCAGCGCTCTCTCCTGTCAGCCACCTCTCTGTAGCGTGGCCGAGCCCTCTATTGGTCCGACCGGTACAGAGAGCAGCTGTCTCCTGTACCCGGCCGGACTAACAGGAAGTGAACA